TTCTCTGTGTTGCCATTGAAAAAGCAGTGAACCAATTGAGCACAAAATTTAATAGCTACAGAGAGAGTGCCAGAGTTTTTAACCTGAGTAGGCCAATATTCCCCCCACCCTTGCCTCAGAACCATTTTGCTTCTGGGGGTGGCATCATTTACAGAAACATTTGGTATTTGCCATGCTAGCCCCATGAAACATTCAACCCTTATTGGTAAGCTTGAGGTCCAAGCATCTCGCTAGCCTGTTTCTTTCTTTCTTCTTCTGACTTTGAATCAGGCCATGCATGCCTATACCCCATTTTTCAAATCTCTATAAATAGATGAATTCCCATCTCTTCTTCAGCACTGTTTGCTAAATGTTTTGGCCTCTGAGTTCAGTTATTCCATGCAGGCATTAATCAGGAGAGGAGCCACTGGTGGTTAGTCTGGACATTATTCTGCCGGGGTGGGGGGTGGGGGGCAGTAGGGAACATTGACTAATAAAGATTAAGAACCTTTTCTTTTTTTTATGAAATGCTAATGACAGAGACATGTGTGATATGCTGTGAAATACATTTCTCTAATGTGAAGTTTCTGGTTTTTGTTGAGAAAGAGACACAGATCCCCAGAGGATTTTAGAATTTGTAAATATAAAAGTATCTGCCTTCGTGTTTAAAAAAAAAAAAAAGGAGTTGGCAGGTAGCCAGATTACTTACATTACTGTAATAGATTTGCTGACCTCTGACTTGTGCTGCAGAGAAATACATTGAATTTTTCATAATATCAGATGAGGCAGATCTAAAAACTCAGGTTACACTGAGCTCCATTATTTCACTTAAGATTTAGTAAAGCAAGAATCTTTTCAAACCAGCAATTTCTATATGATTATGATTTATTGGTCCAGACCCCAATAAATCAGGGTTAGCATGTCACTGATTTGTTCATCTAACTTGAGTTGATTTTAAGTTGTCTTTATTTAAAAAAAATCAAAGTCTTGCCTTTCACAGTGACTGAATTTAATAAGAATCTTTGTGATAGCAAAGGGCTCCCCTACTGTTTCTGCTTTGGGGTGGAAAATGCTATTCTTGTATTATTCCTGGAAGAGGAGAGAGGGGAAAAAAAAACCTCATGCTGCTCTAATTCGCCTATGGAAAGATGTTATTTTTCAGTACATGATAGCTTACCTATTTGAGATCCATTAATGGCATCATAAATAAGCATTTGGCTAATCTGGAATTTGAAATCTGGATAATAATAAAGGTCCATTTATTTGCATTGCTTCCAATCCCCAAACCTGGTGAAGATCAGGGAGGGGAGAAAATGCTCTCTGGTTTTTCTAATGAATTCATTGCTTCCCCCCCCCCATTACTTCCACCCACCTGAAACCTGACTGTGCCCTAAAAGCTTGCAAGCCCATCTAAGTGATTTCTCCAGATTAATGAATTTTAGGGGGGTTGGGGTAGGGGGGAGAGGGACGTTTTTGCTTTTATCTGCACTGTTTAGAAACTGATTAAATCTTTGTTGTACTACAAATATTTGAAAATAATCATCTGCTGGTTTCAGGCATGTTGCATTCTGCTAAAATATTTGTATAATCCAAACCGCATTCTTCCTGTGTTGGGCAATATTGACCTTCAATTGGCTAACCTGTTTTAATGGTACCGCATGTTCGTTGAATGTTCAAATGCTCAAAAACCTGTAGTAGTTTTAGTGCTCGGGGACTGTAAAAACTTCTAATAATCAAACGATAAGATCATATCCTGTGGGGTAATTGTGTTGTGCCTTGAGAGGATGACTGAAAAAACATTCAGTGAAAACTGCACCAAACAGAAATCGCTATATGAAGCTGTCTGTAATTGTTTGTGGTGGGAGATGTTGTCCTGCCCTCCAGAGCTGCACTGCTTGTAGACCTACTCACTTCACTTTCGCTGCCCCCCCTTTCTCCTTATATACATTCCTCTCCTTTTCTTTGCTTTTCTTCCTCCTTTCCTTCCTTTCTTAATTTCTATTTTTTCTCCTTACCTCCCCTTGTTTTTCCTTCTTTTCTTCCTTTTTCTGTTCCTTCTTTCCCTCCTCCCTTTCTCTCTTTTTTTCCTTTCTTTTCTTTCCTTCCTTCTTTTTGTTCCTTCCCTTTCTTCTTTCTTTTCTTCCTTCCTTTCTTTCTTTTCTTCCTTACTATAATTATCCTCCTGCTATTCAGGAGAATACCAGCCCAGCCCATGCCCCTATCCTTTAAATGTATGTGCGCACACACATACACACACACACACACACACACACACAGAGTGCAGAATAACACACATGGACACCCTCTGAGCCTTGAACAGGCGGTGCTTATGTTTGGATTCAGTTTTACCTTAGTCATGCCTCTTTCCAGATACAAGAAACATTTAATTCCAGATTTCCTGCTTCTGGCTCTCAGCCTTTGACCAGCAAAGTGAAATGTGTTTTCACTGTTCTTGGCCAGCCCAGCTGCTGAGTTGAGTGGAAAGAAAGAGAGAAAAAAAAAAGACCAAAAAATGAAAATGTAGTCCTCCTACTTGAACTCACAAGATTATAACATAAGAGGAAATTTAAGCCTTGGCTATTAATTAGCACCTGTCTAATGAGCCAGGGTGCACTTCTTGCCTGTGGTATTAGAACCAAGGCTAAGAAAGGGCTTGTGCCGAAGAATATTACATGATGTTCTAGAGAAGGAATTTCAGTGGTGATTAAGGCCCCCTGGCTGCCTCCCTTCACCCCCCACCCCTGAAGGGTTCTCATAGAACTTCTGTCCATGGGATCATCATCTAATTTGGAGATGAGGACAACTGGGGATGGAGATGGTGGGGAAAGGAGTAATCGTTCCTTTCTTTCTTTCTTCGTTGTAAGTTTCAAATGCACCTCCAGTTGCCACAGCAACCAAACAAAAATCAAACAATCCTATCTCTGTGATAACAATTATTGCAATAAAATGTGTTTTGATTAAAGTCAGTTTTAAATATTTAACACATGGAGGGAAAGGATGTAAATATTGTCCTCACGTGAACCCCCACCTTTCCACTGCTGTGAAGTGAGGGGGCCCTTGGCAGGGCCCAGGCGAAATTATTAGACGTTTGGGGGAATGTTGTTGGGGTACTTTACAAATGAACTAGAATAAATTCAAGTATGAACAAGATTGTTTTTTTTTCTCTCTTATTCTGCTTAGTTATGCTTTTTATTATATAAACATTAGCTGTAATATTACAGTGGGAAGCAGGTATTTGGCAGCTATATATAATTTTAGTAAGTCTGCATAGAGGGAGTACTTTCCAGTTTTAGCAGCTGTAACATGTTTAAACTCAGTTTGTAATGGGATCTGAAGATGAATATTCCCCATGGGCTCTCCTTAGCTTTGTTGCTGGCCCACTGCCAAATTTAGGGCTCGAAAGTATTATTCACGCCTCCTTGCACATACCTTGTCAGAGCATGCTCAGTTAATGAATTTTGTTTCTAATATGGCATAAATTGGGATTTGATTTTACCATATTTTATGTAGTATTTTATTAAAAAATGAAATTTTATGATCACAGGCAGCTCCATTTTTGCACTCTTAAAGCCAAAACTATTGGTTACAGTCAAGAGGTAGAGATCCAAATTGCATGGTTAGAAACCAATTGTAGGATAACAAATGAACATCCCAGGCAAAGGGTTTTCTGCCTGGGAGTCTTAGATTAAAGATAATTAGGATTCCCAATCTTTGAACAGATTTATGTTGTTTATAAGTAGAGTGCATTTTCTTCATTGAGTTAACTTGTCTTATTTAAAACAAATTATGTTTGTTGTATTAAAGTTCATATTTTTAAGGCTGAGTCTTGTATTAATCCCACAGTGAGTCATTAATCACACCAAATGCATTATAAAAATTTTAATCACTAAAGTTGAAACTAAGATTGTAATGCAATCCATCCCTTTTAATTACATCAGCTATTTTTCCCCGTTCAGATCAAGAGCTACGTCGCAAAGGGAAAACAGATTAAAATGAAAGCTGTTTGATGTTTCTCTTTTTTTAAAGCAATTTTATGGATTTTGTTAAAGTTACATAATTAAAATTCTTGAATTTTTTAGTTCTCTGATTTCTGTGGTCCCATTGCCTTTCTCCTCTTTGCTGCCTTATGATTTTGTTCTAACTGGAGTCTCAGGAAACGCCCCCCCTCTTCTGCTGGAGACCCCATAAAAATTTTTCTTCCTTGGACATGCTCACTAAGGTGCCTGCTGCTTGATGGGACTGTCCTTGAACTACTGCCAACATGGAAGGAGGCATTGACCCCTACTCATGCCAAGTCTTCAGTTTCTAGAAATATTGTTGCCCTCATGCTGATCTGGACACCCTATTTGTCAGCTGTCCTTTCAGTATAGTATGTCTTCCCTTGCATCTTTGGGTAGAGTGGAAAAGTGGCCTTAGAACTCAGGTTCAAATCCAGGTGTTAGGATTCTACCACTTCATTGCCATATGCCCTTGAGCAGGTCACTTAATCATCTGAACCTCAGTTTTCTCAGCTGGAAAATGGCAGTAATGATGAGGCATAACCTACATCCCAGGGTTGTGAGTCACAAATAGGTATAAAGTACTTTATAACTGTCAAGTTGTATAAAAGGCTTTCAAGTTGTATAAAGCACAGAGTCAAGACTAATGCTCTTTATAGAAGATTGTTTAAGATATTAAATGTTGGTTCTGATTATGACAGATTTATGCTAGTTTAGAGAGAATTTCTAGAATTTTATTTATGCCAATAGGGGAATGTCATCTTTAATGGAGAAATCTCTAGACTTGAAGTAAACAGAGCTGGGTTCTACTCCCAGCTCTTGCTATAGGACCTTGGGAAAGCCTCCTCTCAGCCTCCGTTTTCTCATTTGTAAAATGAAGATGATTTCCAGGGACCTTCCCATCTCTAACTCGTGATTTGGTATAGGTCGCATATATTAAAAGGAGAAGAAAGCGATGACCATGCAATGTTCTTGACTGAAATTGTAAGGGCTGATTGATTATTTTTTTCTTTAATCCTTTAGATTAATACTGCCATATGAAAGATTTATTAAAGGAGAGGAAGATAAGCCCCTGCCTCCAGTCAAACCTCGAAAACAGGATAACAGTTCCCAGGAGAGTGAAAGCAAAACAAAATTATCTGGAACCAAACGTATCAAAAGTGAAAATCCAAAGAACAAAAAAGAAAAAGATAATGCTGCGAAGCCCCAGGACACACCCGAGGTTAGTTAATAGCCATATTCCTGTGCTGAAACATTGCAATGAGAAATATCCTGCTCTTGAGTCTTCAGGGTGGAATGCACACGTTTGACCAGAAGGTCTCTTCTTGTAGCTTTCTCAAGGGCTGGAAAGTTCTGCCGGGCCTTCTTTTGGGTGCACCGATTGGGAAGGGCTTTCATCAGCACCGTCACAGTCCCTCCTTCAGGGGTCTGATGGCCAATAAAACAGGTGGCTTCTGCTGAGGGCTAGCATTGGGCTTCCCAGAGTTGCATCAGAATCTTGGCAGCACACCAGGCATTCGGAGGATTTGAAGAGAATTTTAAAAATCAATAGAGGTTTGAAACTAGACAAGTCAGGCCTTAATCATGGGCATATCTCAAGTCATTCAGTGCCTAAGTAACTTTGAGTTATCCCTGCCTAGTGTGATTGATCTGGCCGTGTTGCCCAAATGCGTTGTGTGGAAAGTCTATTTGAGACCATTTTCAATACGCATTATTTATTGGGTAGTTTTGAAATGACTCCTCAGAAACCGTTACTGTCTTTTCTGTTAATAGGTAGTTGCTGACCATTTTAAAACTAGCAGCAGCCACCAGTAGACCATAGCTTCCCTAATGGAAGCCCTCTCAGAAGCTAGACGTAGAGACTGGTTTTGAAATCTGTTTTAACATGAATAAATTTTTTTTAAAACCTTGCTCCCTATTAAAACACCAACACCGATAACAAATAAGGAACCATTTTCAAAGGCAACATGTTTTAGGATTCAACCTCAGGGGGAATTTTGGTGCTTCTGTTAAATGCCCCTAAAAATCAAGTCTGTAATGAACCCAGAAGAGATGCTCTAATTAAACAGTAGCTTCTTAAAAAATAAAATTAAAAAAAAAAAACAACCCTCCCTAACTGAAAATTAAGCTGCTCAGCTGAGTCTTGTAGAAATAGATTATATAGATAGCAGGAGAAAAAAATTTTTTTTTTCATTTCATAAACATTTTAAGCCCCAGTAATTTAAACCCACACACACACACACACACACCCCTATGAATTGGCCACATAACATGACCAAAATGAAGGAAGCTTCTAAGTTCATCTCTTGAGCCTCAGATCTCTGCTTTATACTCAATTGTTGCCTACGTCTAACAGATCAAGCTATGGATACTGGGGCCAAGGCTGACCTTTGAATTTCTCTTTTTTATGGTTGGGTAGCAATACCCAACCCAGCACTGCTTCTGTCCCCAAACATTGCTTGCCTGTTAACTGTAGGCATCAGCCTTAGCCAACCCACTGACGTAATATAACAAACAAGTCCAGACCTACTTGTATGAAGATGACAACATTCAGGAGCACTAAATCAGAAGTTAGACTTGAGTCTCATCTTTGATGCTTCTTTTCAGTGTGACCTGACCTTGGACAAGGTCTTTATTACTCCCCAATCACAGCTCTAAACAAAGAAATCTAAATTACAGAAACATTAAGGGAAATACACATATCGACTCCGGTTTCTTATGAGACACCTATCAAAATAGCAAAGCCTTGTATACTGATGGTATACAATCATATCATCTCTTGATTCCAACATATAGTTGGAATCAACTCTTATTTGGCCTCATTTGGCTTTTTAAAGATTTTGATTACTTCCAATACTGAATCAGCTTATCATGTAAAAATTGGGGTGGCAAGTCTTCTTCTCATATTAATTGCTTCTCAATGACTTGGATTGCCAGGTTTGTGCTAATTAAGGGATATGTGTATCCCCATTGGATGCTAGGGGAAAAAAATGCCCTTGAGTAAACCAGGAAAAGTTTTAACTTATGCTTGCCTGGATTCTCGAGGATTCATGAATTTCTCTAGAAATTATCATATGATTCTGCTATTCCTCAATAACTAAGCCTTCATCTTGTAGTTTCAGCAGATAAAAGGGCAGAATATTAAATGTGAATTGCCTTTTTCCCCTTTGACTCATAAATTTTTCTGCCATTTTCATGTAATATGTGAGCACAAGAGACTAGTGTTTATGTGGAATGATGCCTGGCTGGTGTGGTCATCACAGGATTTGGAAGAACATGATTGATGCTGATCTTGGTGCTTTCACTAGCTAAATAAATAGCCTGTTCCCTTGGGCAAGTGACTGGACCTCAGTTTCCTCCTCTGTAAAATGAGAGATCATAGACTTAGAGCTGGGAGGAGCCTTAAAGATGATCTTGTCTAACTCCGCCTTTCATTTTACAGAAAAGTAAACTGAGGCCCAGAGCAGTTAAGTGATTTGCCCAAGGTCATACTGGCTGTAATTAGTGAATCCAGGGTTGCTGCCAGCTCTAAGTTTCTTAGATTTGACTTCACAGAGAACATGTTGATATTTGGACTTTAAAAAAAAAACAAACTCTTTGTGGAAGGATGAGATGGACAACCAAAGATTGCAACAAATTGTGTATCCTCCAGCCCAGCGGGCTCTTGTGGAGAAACATCTTTTCAATGGGTGTGGGTGTGATTTATTAGATGCTTTCTCTGCCACCCCCACCACCAAGGCTTCCCCGAATACCTTCGTGCAACATTTAGACAATCACTTTGTCGATGCCTCCCGTCTTAACAACTGAGGAGAACCAAGTTGGATGGTGAGACAGAGACCATAAAAGACCAACACAAAGCGTGGTTTTGTGACCGTCCTCCGCCACGGCACGTCAGGACGAGATGACAGGTCTTATGAAAGGCCTTGTCAGTCAGCCGGGGTCACAGATGGAAAGTTATAATGACCCTTGGAGGTCACAGTTCATCTGGCTCCATAATGGAATGAATGGAGCGGTTTGTGCCCACAAGCTTTGTCAATGGGGGCAGCACAAAGAGGGGCTGTCTCATTGACGATAACTTATTTCAGGGAAGAGAAAAGCTATATTTGTAATGGCGCACATTGCCTGAATGTTGACAACTTCATTTTTAGCTTTAATAAAAATGTAGCTTGCCACAATGCTGAAAGGGAGACTGGGAGTTTCTTTTCTCTTTGGCAGGCAGGCTGCCACGGCATCTGCATAATTTTTAAATATTTTAGCATTATTTGTGTGTCGTGTGGCACCAAGGAGAAATTATTAACACATAAGCAGTCGCTAATTTTAAATTCACCAAATTACAGAAATTAGAGTGAATCTGGCCATCTCGAAGAATAGCAAGAGGTGAGAATGTACTTTGTTGTTGTGTGGTTCTTTCAATGGGGTTGCCTGCCTTCTGGAAGAGAGCAACTGTTTTGTTTTGTTTTTTTAATCTTTCTCAATGGTGTCATAAAACTACAACATGTAATTTCAAACCCATTTGAATAATTGACTGATTTGACAAGAAGACAACCTCAGAATTAAACTATATGTTGGAATCAAGAGATGATATGATTGTATACCATCAGTATACAAGGCTTTGCTATTTTGATAGGTGTCTCATAAGAAACCGGAGTCGATATGCGTATTTCCCTTAATGTTTCTGTAATTTAGATTTCTTTGTTTAGAGCTGTGATTGGGGAGTAATAAAGCCTTTCAAAACTCTCGGAGGTGATTGACAAGCCTGTTTTTAAGGAAAGCTGCTGGGTGTAATATTGTATTTCATAGTGGGATCTGTCAACATTCTTTGCTTTCTTCTGATTATCTGTTGAAATATTTTATTAGGTCTCATCGGAGAAAGAGAAGGAGATGCCGGATCAGAGAGGTCTGACCGCGCCCGTCGCCACAGCAGAACTGAAGAGACAGATGGAAGGAATTCCAGCAGAGGTGCTGGTGTCTGGAGCAGACCCGGAAAAAGGAGACTTGAAGGACCAAGGCTGCAACAAGGAGAAAGCTGAGGAGGCCGAGGCCAAGGAGGAAGAGGAGGCTCCACCTTCCTTCCTTCCTCCGGTGCTTCCCGAGGAAGAGCCGGGCCAGACGCCAATGGTTGGCAAAGAGTCGCACCCATCGCCAGATGTCCTCAGTGACATGAAGCAAGAGCCCCAGACCTGCAGTTTTACAGAGAACCCTGAAAACGAGCTTCAGGAAACCCCGTTTGGTAGTTTCCCCACCATGCAGCTGCCTTTGGCAAGCCAGAACGAGATGGAAGATGACAAGCTGCCCGTGATGGCCGATTACATCGCCAACTGCACCGTGAAAGTGGACCAGCTCGGTCACGATGACATCCATGATGCGTTGAAACAAAACCCCAAAGTCCTCGTGGTCCAGTCATTTGACATGTTCAAAGAGAAAGAATTGACGGTGCCCCACGATGACCCCACATTTAACTATACCCCCTTGCTTTACTCGCGGGGTAATCCAGGCATCATGTCTCCTTTGGCAAAGAAAAAACTTCTGTCCCAGGTGAGCGGGGCTAGTTTATCCAGCAGCTATCCCTATGGCTCCCCTCCCCCTTTGATCAGCAAAAAGAAACTGCCTAGTAGAGATGAACTGTGTTCGGGTTTGTCCCAGGCTCATCATGGTCCCAATGCGGACCACATGGCGGTCAGCCGGCCGTCGGTAATACAGCACGTGCAGAGTTTCAAAAGCAAGACTTCTGAAGAAAGAAAAGTAATTAATGAAGTCTTTAAGCATGACAAATTAAGTAAGCCAGATCCCCACCGCTGTAGTTTCTCTAAACATCACCTTAATCCACTCACTGAGTCATATGGACTGAAATCAGATCTCGAGGAGAGCAAAGACAAAGTGATGGAGAAAAGGGGACTCCAGCATTCCCACATGCCCAGCTTTCTGGCAGACTTCTATTCATCTCCTCATCTACACAACCTCTACCGACACACGGAACACCACCTTAATAATGAACAGACATCTAAATATCCCCCCCGAGACATGTATAGAGAATCAGAAAACATTTCCACTTTCCCTTCACATAAACACCAAGAAAAACTCAATGTAAATTATCACACGTCTTTGCATCTGCAAGACAAAAAGACAGCATTGGAAGCCACTTCAGATGATCAGCCCACAGATTTGAGCCTTCCAAAGAGCACGCATAAGCAGACTGGAAAGGCCCTGGGCCTGGCTCATTCATCCGTGGGGCATCAGGACGGCAAAACTATCTCACAGTTTCAGGTTATGAGCAGCCAGACCAATCGAGACTGTAACCCCAAAGCCTGCCGAGTGTCACCCATGACCATGTCGGCCCCCAAAAAATACATTGAATCTCTTCCTAGGTCTGGAAAGCCTCACCATGTGAGACTGGAAAATTTAAGGAAGATGGAGGGGATGGTTCATCCAATGATACACCGCAAAACAAGCCCCCAGAATATTGGCGCAGCACGGCCTTTGAAGAGGAACCTGGAGGATTTGGATCTCGTGATTTCGGGGAAAAAAATCCGTGCGGTGTCTCCCCTGGATTCCTCCAAGGAGGCCTCAGCAAAGGACAAGGCCTCGGAGCAGGATGGCGAAAGCACTAAGCTGACTCACGGCGGGCATGCCGGGAGCACGTTGGAGAGCCACAAGCTTCCTCTCTCTTCTCCTATCTTCACAGGGTTGTATCCAGGAACCCTGTGCTCGGGTCTCAATTCCCGCGTCCCAGCTGGATATTCTCACCCTTTGCAGTACTTGAAAAACCAGACTGTGCTCTCTCCACTAATGCAACCCCTGGCTTTTCATTCGCTTGTGATGCAACGTGGGATCTTCACATCCCCGGCAAATTCTCAGCAGCTCTATAGACATTTAGCTGCGGCCACACCTGTGGGAAGTTCCTATGGAGAGATTTTGCACAACAGCATCTATCCTTTAGCTGCTATAAACCCTCAGGCGGCCTTCCCATCTTCCCAGCTGTCATCTGTACACCCCAGTACAAAATTGTAAACTTAGCCTTCCAAAGCATCTAAATGAAAATGTCAATCTCGTAGCTTCACTCCTCACAACGTGATGACATCTTGAAGAAGGAGACGTCAGTATTCCTTCTAAAAACTAGGGTTCAGGAGCCACCCTGGCAATTGAATGAATAGGTCTCTTTGATTGGGGTAAGGCTATGCTTTGGCTAGGTCAGTCTAGACCCCCCCTTTCCTATATCGATGACCTCCCCAACCTCCAAATCATTTCACTTTGCACACGAGTTTGGTGAAGGGATTTACAACGTCCAAAAATGGCTAAAAGAGACCCTCATCTGCCCTCAGATTGTTGGGCCTGAGCTAGAAAGGTGGCAATTCAGAGGAGGGGAAAAGGAAGACTATGGTGAATCCACACCATCAAAGGATGCCCATCTTTGGGTCAACTGCTTGACTTTTCAAGGTTAAATCAATGCAATGTATAGTGGATCTGCAATCGATCTTTCCTTTTGACACTATTAAGCCTGAAAAGTAAACACTGTTCAAATGACTGTATAGACTTGCTTCTTAAAAGGTACCTGTATTTGTTTGTTCACATAATTTATATACAGGTAGTTCCATTTCCCCCTTCCTCCCCAGTTTATTCTGTCCTGTTTTTTTTTTTAATTAAACAGTATCATTTTGTTGGCAGGTCTTTTGTTTCTGTTTCCTGTTTTGTTTTGTTTTTTTTTTTTTAAAGGCTGTCCTAGTCGTTGATGTGTGTATATTTTTTTCCACATCTTATCATTTGGAGCAGCTTTGGGTGGTAAAGTTATTGTTTACAAGTTGAAGCAACCAATTCAAGTGGAACAAATGGAGACAAAGAGAGAAAGAGAGAGGGAGAGAGACAGACGGCGGATCCCACGATGGTACAAACCAAGTTCATTTTTCAATCTGCAATTTAAGGATTTTGTTCCTCCTACACGGCAGGGCCTAAAGAGCTTCTCCACTGTGTACCCGGCCAAAGGCTTTGCTTTGAAGTGTTGGGTTCTGTGAAAATGTTCAGCATTGTACTTACCTTATCTAGGCTGTGAAACTGTCCTACATACCAGAGGAATCATAAAAACACAAACTTCATTGGCAACAAACTACAGAATAATAACCAAATCCAGAGGACATATTTGTGGGCTGTACAGATATTTTAGGAATTCCAGAAATTAAAGCAGGAGCCAAGATGATCTCCACTGATGTTGGGTTGAAACCCTTTAAGAGGCTGGAGAAAGGAGAGCTAGAGGGCGGGTGGGGGGAGGGGAGAGAAGGCCAGATGCCGAGACATCAGACACCTTCCCCCAGCGGAGCTGTCCTTAGTGTTGTCCTTGACGTGGTCCAGTTGGTCTCTTACAGATACAAAGAAGAGCGCACTGCCACCATATCATCATGGTTATTGATTACAATTGGAGTATTTGATTACACATATGAAAAAGAAACTCATCTTTGGTTGCAAAGGCAGTGTTGTCGTGGTGGTTGTTTTAAGCAATGGCCTATCTGGCAACAGATTTTGCTTGATATTTGCTTCAGTCGTGTGAAATAAATGCTCACACTGGTCAAGCCGTGGAAAGATGTGGATGGTTTGTTTTGCCCGTGTGATACATGGGCTACTGAGATGTAACCGCAGAATGTTTTGTTTTCAAAATGTTTTGTCAGTCCAAAAAAAAAATGATGGGTTTCCTTTTGGCCTTCCCTAAGAGTCCCCCCTCCTATATCCATAGATGATCATTTTGTTAAAACCCTCTACCACTCCCCTGCCCCATGGTTTCCCATAGACGTTAGTTCTATAGTTACCTGAGGTTTGGGGGTTTTTGTTTTCCATTTTTTTTTCCTCTGACATGTTTTGTTGTGTGAAAATTGATGACAGTTTTCAACTTCTAAATAAGCAACTCGCCTGTAGAATTTTCAAAACTGGTAAGGCTGTAGAACAAAGCCATGCATGCAATGCATTTATTTATATTGAAACGTCACCACGACATAAAGCCAAATATCTCATGTAACATACTTAATATCCAAAGGTGAAAACAGAAGAATGTAGTCATCCAGTGTTCAAAGTTCCATTTGCTTCAATTAATTACTTACCTTCCTGTGGGGAAAAAAACAAACAAGTGTGTGGGTGTGTGTGTATATATGTATGTATGCCCATATATACATATATATGAGAGAATATTAAATAAACTAATAGACTTTAGGTTATACATGTGTGAGTGCATATTATCCTGCTATTGCACAAGAGAGTGAGAGAGAGAGAGAGAGAGAGAAAACATCACATTCCCAGCTGGTTTCCTTCCAGCAGGGACATATAAGGAAGTTGCACTAGATATAAATCGTGACAGAACCAGAGAATATGAAAGAAAAACAACCCCATGGTCATTCCACAGTAAGCGAGCTTGTTTAAAAAAAAAGCGGGGGCTTCCCTTTTGGGGGGTCACCTATAAATTGTGGGCCTGGGGATATTTGTTTTCCGCAACGCACTGATCTCACTTTGGTTCCATCAGGTTGGAATTGGGTCATGCCATTTTCAAATCACGTTAATAGAAGCCAGCATTCATTTTTCTCGTTTGTTGCAAGAGGAGGCTCACTGTTTCTCTCTGAGGGAGATCAAATGCTAGGTAAAACCTCAGGACCACTAATGAGAGATGGTGGGACTCCCTCTGGAAGCAACACTTTATTATTTGTTGTTTTTTTTTTTAAATCTCAACCAAAATCTTGGAATTCTTTCTCCCAAAAGACCATTGAATTCCTCATTGGCTGAGAAAGGCTTTTTTTTTTTTTTAAAGTCTTACATGGGGCTTTGTTTGTATTGTTTGAGTCCAAGGGGCCTTATTATTGAATGGAGTTGTGCAAGCCTTTTGTTGTGCAACCAAACCATTGTTATTGGTAGTTTTGTAAAGGAAACTGTGGAATCTAATGGGCAACAAAGTCATAAATCTATTTACTGAGAACAGCTTCCAAGAAATGTTGCAATTCCAAATGCACTAAGTTCATGATTCATTGGATATTTTGGAGATTATAAGACTTAAATAACAACCCTCCCCCATAAAAAAAAAACACACAAAAACAATTCTTGACTTTAGCAAACCCAATTTTAAAAATAGAGCCCAGTTGAGTTTCAGAATTCAGTGTTCTCCTAGTAAATGATTAGAATGTGGAATATTTGCAACTGTCTTATTTAGTTAGTTATTGGAGACTCTCAGTTCACGTTTATCAGAGCAGAAAGAATGGTTTGTTCAAGCCCAAGATTGACTTTACAATTTACTGAACTGGTGCATGAGTTCTTAAGTACTGTATCTTACTATGTTGTTGTGTCTCATAGAAGTTTTGAGTTGGTCCCACAAAGATCTCTTCTGTAGTGTGCCTTCAAAGAGAGCTTTCATTTTTCTCTTCACTGATTGTTCCATACGGTCACATTTTGTGGTGGTCACAGCCAAGCCCCATCTGGTCCAGTTTTCCAGTTGTCCTGATCTTAATGAGGAATGGGAATGATTTCACTCTGGCGAGACCCACACCATTGAAACGATCATCATAAGCACTTAATTCCAGTGTTGGCTGTAAATGTATTTGACATTCTGCTTGTCTCCCTATGGTTGAAATATGTTTGAAGAAAAGGCAGCATAATCTCTTGGCTGTTTATACTTTTTTAAACTTTTCCTTTGTTGTAAATATTGTATACTTTTGGTGATTTGAGTTATGTAACCTCTATGCTCTGTAAGGTGGTTATTTGTATATAGTAAAATGGCCCAGTGATATTAGAGACTTGCCCATGGACGAGGTTGTTGAGTAACCTCTGCATTAGTTTGAACACTACCAGAAATAAAGCTGAGCCAACTATAAACACTCGATTTTGTATGTTTTCCAAATTGTACTTATTAATGCTTTTGATACTGTATCACGTGCCAATAGTTTCCCAATCACATAGCAGGCAAGAGATATTTTGTACTTTTTGATCCACTGTCATATTTAATAAAAAATGTTACTATCTGTTCTCTTTGGTGCCTGAGTAATAATTCTATCTCCTGCTTTTCCCATTGAGAAGTCACTGGACTTTGAAGGCTGCCCCATCCCTGCCCCCAACCTTCCCTTCTTTTATGCCAGTAAGAGGTGCTACCTCCCAGGGGAGATTAGGGGCATCTACTTAGAACTGGAAGGGACCTTTGAAATCTTGTCCAGATACCTTGTTTTGCAGATGAAGAAACTAAGGCCCAGAGAGGTGAAGTTCCTGAAGTCACAGTTAGGGAGCAGGCTTTCAAATCCAGATCCTCTGAATCCATATGGGACCATCTTTCCACTAGGGATACACTGCCTATCCCGGTAGCACGCTATTCAAAAATATCCCCAGACGGGGCAGCTAGGTGGCACAGTGGAGAGAGCACGGGCCCTGGAGTCAGGAGGACCTGAGTTCAAATGCAGCCTCAGACACATAACACTTACTAGCTGCGTGACCCTGGGCATGTCACTTGACCCCGTTGCCTAGCCAAAAACAAAACTTCGCCAGACAATTTCTGGTCAGTATTGGGCTCTCTCCCAGGGTTGCTGAGCTTGTAATCTGAAAGGGGGTATTCCCCAGTCATTTGCTCTGGGACACTCCTCTGTGAGCGCTCTCCTTCCCCGCAGTAGAGATGAGGGGCCCAGGTGGGAGCCTTCTCAGGTGGGCAGGTAAGGGTGATGGGTAGGAAGCTGCCCTCAACAAGTGCTCGAGCTGTGTGCCTGTGGACTGATCCCTTTTTTGGAGATCTCAAGTTCCTGGAGGTTCCGTCAGAACCACATCCCATCCCCGTCAACCCCACCTCCTTCCCAGCCCCTCCCCCCCTTCCACAGTACACCTCAGCTCTGCAAATTCATCACCATATCACCACCTGGGCAAACCCACTCTAGGCCTTCCTGTGCTTTCCAGCCACCCCATTTGTGTTTATAGTGTGCAGTAGCTCGATACCTCATTTTATCCTCAAAACAAGCCTAGGAGGTGGGTGCTGTTTGTTTCCCTATTTTACAGGTGAGGAAACTGAGGCAAACAGGTTAAATGACTTTCCCAGGGTGATGCGGTAAAGGTGAGGTAGCATTTGAACGTAGGGCATCCTGACTCTGTCCTGTGCTCCATCTACCATGCCATACCTCTTGGGAGGTATGGAGCCTTTCAGAGATAGACATTTAACTTGCACTCTTCAGTAGATTGTGGTTGATGGAAGCCCTTTAAAAGAGAAACAACCCAGACTTTAGTTCACAATCAGCATTTATGAGATCCTGCAAGTCTAGGAAGTGGCAAGAAAAGTGAGAAAAAGATGCCCATCTTTCTCCAGCTTTACAGCTGGAAGGGGCTTCAGAGGTCAACCAGTCCAAGCGAAGAAACTGAGACCCAGAGTTAGATCACTTGCCTTGAGGTACAAGAGTTGGCTTGGCGGGAGGTGACTCCCAAGTGGGCAGTAATTCGTGGTTAATGAGCTTAAGTTCTCTTTGAAGAAAGTGAGTCCAAAAGCCTCTATTTGAGCATCCTAAGGGGGGCAGGTATGTGGCACAGTGGATAGAGCACCGGCCCTGGATTCAGGAGGACCTGAGTTCAAATCCAGCCTCAGACACATAACACTTACTAGCTGTATGACCCTGGACAAGTCACTTAACCCCAT